GCCGGGCCTGGCCGCCATCGCTGTCACTCAGAGGCAGGAGGGTGCTTTAACCCTTCGCAGCCCTTTGCTGGCAGTGGGGAAGGCGAAGGGTTAAGCCCTAGCCGGGCGAGGGGGTGCTGCAGTGCACCCTTGGGTGCTGCAATGCAGCCCTGGGGTGGGGGGGAAGGGTTTGCGCTCCCCCTCCCCCCCGTGCATGGGGTATTTGGGATGCACCCAGTGGGGTCGAGTACCCAGCACCCAGGGCTGGGCATCCCTGCAAGGCGAGCACCCAGCGCCCAGGACAGGGCACCCCTGCAGGGTGAGCACCCAGCACCCAGCCCTGAGCTTGCCCCAGGCCCAAGCGTCCAGCATCCAGCCCCTGAGCACTCCTGCAGGGTGAGCACCCGGCCCTGAGCATGCCCTGGGGCTGAGCACCCCTAAAGCGTAAGCACCCAGCACCCAGGCCCTGAACATCCCTGCAGGGTGAGCACCCAGCACCCAGACCTGAGCATGTCCTGGGGCCGAGCACCCAAGCCCTGGCCCTGAGCACCCCTAAAGCGTAAGCACCCAGCACCCAGCCCTGAGCATGTCCTGGGGCCAAGCACCTGTCTCCTAGCCCTGAGCATGACTTGGGGCTGAGCACCCAGGCCCTGGCCCTGAGCATCCCTGCAGGGTGAACACCCAGCACCCAGGAATGGGCACTCCTGCAGGGTGAGCACCCAGCACCCAGGACTGGGCACCCCTGCAGGATGAGCACCTAACCCTGGACACCCCTGCAGGGTGAACACCCAGCACCCAGGACTGGGCACCCCTGCAGGGTGAGGACCCCATCCCTGAGCATGCCCTGGGGCCAAGCACCCATCCCTGAGCATGCCCTGGAGCCAAGCATCCAGCCCTGAGCACCCAGCACCCAGGGCTGAGCCTTTCCCTCGCCCCAGGCATTTGAGGATGTTCACATCCCAAGGCGATTTACTCCATGCTCACCCAGCACATCCCACCTACCTCCGAGAATCCTCCCAAGAAACTCCCAACAAACCACAAATCCTGAATTATTTAATGTCTCCTGGCCGGGACGCACAGCTTCTCTTGCATTTATTATCATACCCAGAGATTTGCACACCCTTGGTACCCCCGGCTGATTTTGCACCTTCCACCGCAGCCGATGGGTACGATGGTGAAATCTTGCTCCCTGCACCCACCTGCGTGCTGGAAAAACGTAGTGTCCAAGAAAATCCCTCCCCCCAAACCTCCCAACCCTCCTGCCAATGTCCCTTCCAGCCCTCTCCCTATGCCTGTCCCTTCTTTACACCCTCTCCCGGTTTATCTGACCCTGTATTAAGCCCAGTGGATTTTGGACATGTTCCCAGACCCCTGCAAAGAGCAAACCCCTGGGAGATCCGGCCAAAACCCAAAGCATATTTACATCTTTCATCTTCAAAGAAGTCCCTAGCAGACAAGCATAGATGCAAAAAGCTTTACGCTGCATGTCCCAGTCCAGCAGCGGTGCGTTTTTCTGGGGAACGATGCTATCTGAGCCCCAAAGGGATTTTTTTAGGGTTTGCAGCTCTTTTTGCAAAGAGTTTTTGGGCTTGCACAGGATCGGTGCCTGCTCTTGGCTCCTCACGTTGCGGTACCTGCTCAGAGCCCATCGGGGAGTTAGGGAAAGGGGCCACATCCTGCACGGATGCCCCATATTGCCACCCCAGCACACGCTGCACTCCTCTCTGCCCCTTGCGTCCTTATGCAAGTCCCTCCGAAAATCCTTCCCACGCATGCGGTTGCCCCCAGCCCCAATCCTTGCAGCTCCGCACAACCCTCAGGGCTCTGCCCCCCATGCAGCACCCTCCCCTTTGCATCCCCTTCCCCTTGCACCCCCCTCCTCTCTGCTTCTCCATGCAGCTACTCATTTTGGCATCTCCCTTCTACCCCCTCCCTTTTGCACCCAGCTCCCCTTTGCACCCTCATGCACCTCCCTACCCCTTGCACTTCCCTTTCCCCTTGCACCCCCTCCCCTTTGCATCCCCTTGTAGCCCTCTATTTGTGCCCCATGTACCCCTTCCCTTTGCACTCTCATGCATCCCCACCTTTATGCACCCCCTCTTTGCACCCCCATGCATCCCCTCCCTTTTGCACCACCTTCCCCTTGCACCCCCACGCATCCCCTTCC